ATATATATATATATATATATATATACATATATATATATATATATATATATATAAACAGTGAAACTGTAAACACAGGTAGGGGACAATAAAGTCCCTGAGGTGTCTGTACACCGTGGAGTGGAGGCAATCTGTTTAGCGGCGCATTTAAATATTTGATAGAAATAAAATAAAACAAATTAATTTAAATTAAAATATAAAACAAATACAACAACAACAAAATAGAAGCAAGAGAGACAATGAAGACCCTGATGAGGGACCATTGGCAAGCGGTCTAGGGTTTAGGGTTTAGGGTTTAGGGTTTAGGGTTTAGGGTTTGCGTTCTATAGAGACTTCTTTATACACTTTTCTTGTTTATTCAAACTGTTAATATAAATATAAAAAACACGCAGGATTTCAGCTCTCATAGTATACCCGATGCCGACAGCAGCAGCAGCAGCAGCAGCAGCAGCAGCAGCAGCAGCAGCAGCAGTGGCGGCAGCAGGATGGAGACCGCTGCCACTCAGCACAGGCGCGAGCGGCTAAACCCTAAACCCTCATCCGTAAACCCTAAACCCTCAAGTTTATTAGAAATTTTAGTTTATTATTATAAAGATAAAACTGCTGCAGCGAATAGAAGAACTGAGCAGGTTGTTTGTGGTTTGGTTTAGGGTTTACTAGGGTTTGAGGCGAGGGTTTATAGCGACTGCTACGGGCTAGCGATGAGGCTTGTGTGCTCTTTAGGGTTTAGGGTTTAGGGTTTAGGGTTTAGGGTTTGGAGCCATGTCTCTCCTCCTAGGAGACCCCTTCTACCGTTTTGCTGCTGCTGCTGGCTGCTTCACTGCATGCGTTTTGTCTGCGTTGCCGCTGCTGTGCCACGGCTACCAGTTGCTGCTGGAGCGTCTCAGGCGCAGCAGCAGCAGCAGCAGCAGCAGCAGCAGCAGCAGCAGCAGCAGCAAGACAGCAGCACGGGGTGTATATACATCCCCCAAGACACTCGCCTTCAGAATTATATTGATGGTCCCTGTCTATGCTGTTTCTTCTCTCTTAGCTTTTCTTTATTGTTCTCCGCTTGCATCTCTCCCTGCAGCAGCAGCAGCAGCTTCTGCTGCTGCTGCTCCTGCTGCTGCTGCTGCTGCTCCTGCTGCAGCTGCAGCAGCTGCTGGTGGTACTGGTGGGGATACCTCTACAACGGTTGGTGGTGACCTGTCTGCTCGTGCTGCAGTAGCAGCAGCAGCAGCAGCAGCAGCAGCAGATGCACTGCAGCAGAACAGCGGGGGCTGGGGGGGCCTCTGGCTGCGGGGGGCCCGCG